TTCATCAATTAGCAAGAATAGAACCAGCAGAAATTTAGTACCTTTTCCTAATGATTAAATTTAAAATTTTGGCCATCAGGTGAATTTTGTCAAAGAGCTTGGAGTAATTTTTTGGGAGAGATTAACAACAAATATCCCGAAAGCAAAAGAATTCAATTTATAAATAAGAGAACTAATTGTATTCTTCCTCATATTGTACAGGGAACACTAATTTCTGGAGACCTACATTTTATAACGATGCAAACAAATCAGGAAAAGCAGGTTATAAATTAGGAAAAATAACTAAAGTGGCTCAAAGTCCTTATGATTATGTCTAAAAGTCAGAATTATATGCTATTCTGATGGTATTAATAGATTTTACACAACCTCTTAACATAGTTACTGACTCTCAGTGTGCAGAAAAAAATGTTTTACACATTGAAACTGCTGAATTTATTCCTGATGAGTCAGAGTTAACTTTGTTATTTATTCAGTTAAAAGAAATAATCAGGAGTAGGAATCATCCCTTATATATAACACATATTTGATCTCATATGGGTCTGCAAGGCCTTCTAGGACAAAGTCATGAAGAAATTGATCAACTATTGATAGGAAATGTGCTGGAGGCCTCAGAGTTTCATAAAAACAACAACAACAACAACAAAAAACACCATGTCAGTGGCAAGGGTGTGAAAAAAGATTTTTCCATCACTTGGCAATAAGCCAAGGAATTTATATGGAAATGTCCTACTGGTTTTTTATATAACCAAACTCCACTACCTTCAGGAAGTAACCCAAAAGGTACTCAAAGTGATGGAATCTAGCAGATGGATGTATTTCATTTTGTAGAATTTGGAAAATTGAAATATGTACACCACACCATTGATATCAATTCAGAATTTCAATGGGCAATTGCTTTGAGTTCTGAAAAGGCTGATTCTGTAATCACACATTTGCTAGAAGTTATGGTCATTATGGGTATACGTGTACAAATTAAGACTGACAATGCTCCAGCATATGTCTCTAGTAAAATGAAAGTTTTTTGCTTATTAAAATATAAAGCATATTACACAATCCTAAAGGACAAGCAGTTATAGAAAAATCAAATTGAACTCTAAAGGATTTTCTAATTAAACAGAAAGGGGTAACAAGGACCCCCAGAGAGAGACTGCATACTGCTTTATTAACTTTGAATTTTCTAAATGCTAATGAGAAAGGAACAACAGCTGTGGAGAGACATTGCATAATAGAAAAAACTATGGAATTAAATCAGCCTGCATCCTTTAAAGATGTGCTGACTTCAGAATGGAAACCAGGATATGTGTTACATGGAGAAGAGGTTTTGCTTTTATTTCCAAGAGAAAAAGAAAAGCTATGGATACCATCAACATTGATAAAGATTAGATTTGAACAAGAGAGACCTCTTAATTATGAGGTGATAGTTCATCAATCAGCATGACCATTCAATTTAAACTAACTTCTACAACTAACAAATGGTTTTTGTTAGTTTGATCAGATACAACTTTCCATAAGGGAACCTCCAAATAATTAGGCTTGGGGCATGGAATCTGATGACCCCTGGACAAATGCGACATGTAAAGTAAAAGGACAAATCATCCAGAAAAAAAAAATGTCCCAAGCAAAAGAATAAATTGGCCTATTGGTATATCACATCTCCAACAGGATAAAATTTCATAATTCTTCCTAAATGTTTGTTTTTGCTGTTTTCTACAGACATATAATGCAAATTGTCTTTTTGTAGTTAAAATCCAATTAAAAAATAAAGCTGGCTTTGAAGTTGGAATATGTCTCTCTCTGTCTCTAAACCCAAGCATTTTTGTTAAAAGGAAAATTCAAAATCCCTGTCTTATGTTAGAAGGGCCACCTGATATGGGACAGGAGAAAAACCAAATTTAGGGACTCTTCTGGAGAAAAACCAAATATATATTTAACTTTTTGTCATAATATTTATGGTCATATAGAGTACAAAGTAATTTTAGAAAAGGGCTTCATCTAGCTTCCTGTACATGATTTGGAATTTGAGTCTCTATCAGGTAACTAGGAATTAAGATTTTGTACTCTGTATATACATAACAAATATTAATCCTTTAACCCCTTTGAGATCCGCTGCATACGACATTTAAAATGATTAAGTTTTCAACAGTGAACCATGACTACACCTAACAGTGGCCTTTGAAGTCTCCAAAAGGATGATGTGGCCCCAAAATGATGATTCCACCAAGATTATAAAAATGCCACTAAGCTGAAAAAACATCATTCAAAGATCAAATTTGGACTACAAACTGCTCAGGACAACTTCCAGGTGGCAAGCTAAGATGGTCCAGCCTCACAGACTACTCTAGCCAGTACTTGAGACAAGCCCTACATTTTTCCATTACACAGAGACTAGACAAAAATAATACAGCTACCTCTCCCAGGACTTGACAATTAACCCAAATTTTTCTTTTCAGGATCCCTTAAAGATGCTGTTGCCCTCAGACAGCAGGAAGTAATTTTAAGAACAGGACACCAACATTTCCAAGAGGTAGGGTAGGTGGTTTTTGGTTGTTCAATGGGTTATGCATATTTGTCATGTTTAGGATGGTTGGTTACAAGTTGTTATTGGTAATGGTTTAAAAAAAGAGGAACAAATGACTTTAGATTCAGAGTTCTTGTTTTGAAAAGAAAAAGGGGATATAAAAATGATAGGATGAAGGGTAGATTACTGAATCTACTTTTAAAAAGCAACTACTTGTTTTAAATGTTTTACACTAATAGGATCTTTGTATTTTGACACAAATTTGAGATAATTTTTTAGAACATACTGTGCATACATTTCTACTCTTGTTCAAAGTATTATACCTATACAACTCATTTACCAACATAATGAAAAATTTTAGCCCTTCCTTGAAAGTTATTATTACCAACTACTTAGGATAATAAGGAAATGCAAGTTAGTAATTGGTGACCTATTACAATCAAACTTGTAGTCATGTTAGGTATGTTCTCAAGGTATAACAGAGATATATTTTGGATAGACAAGTGGTCTTCAAATGCTTCAGGGAGCTACTGAATATGGCATTAAGATGTTTTAATAACATAGGTTCTTTTCTTTTAAGACAATGAGAAGTGTCTACTCCTGGCAGCACCAATCTACTTCAGAGGAGATGATGGGCATTGAAGAAACTCCACATGGAGTTTACTTTCTTTGTGGCAAAAGTTAGCCACTGTGCAAGAAACTGCCCTTGCTTCAACTGCTAACAGTTTGCTGTCCAAATTAGAAAAGCAGGACAGAAAAGAAATTGACTGCCGAACTTTGCCAAGACAAGGTAGGACAACACTTCAGAATATTCTGCTTCACAGAAAAGTCTGTCAGATATGCTAGGCCTATAGGCTGAAGAGGGATGTCCCAACATTGCAGAGGAATCTTGGGTGACAGTCCAGGCAGCCAATTGTTTCTGTCATTTCTCACATTTTTTAAATTTACTTGCTTGTGCTTCCTGTTTACTCATGTAATATTATTTACTTGTTGGGACTCTGATGGAGCTGAAGACTTTATAGTTAATGTTACCAGATGCAGAAAAGAAATTCACTAAAGAGGTGTAAAGTGTGTAAGGTTGAGAGACGTGAAAAGATAATTTTGGTAATGCAAGTTAGAATAGAAAGTGAATTAGGTACAACCTTTTGGGTTCACCAAAATAGGAAAGATATGGAGTATTTTCTTTGAATTTGTCAAATGTTTATGCACTAGACATTGTTGATGTATTTATTGCATGTAGTTATTGTACTTATTGTATATAGTTTTTCTTATATTAGTTACAATGTTCTTTTTTATTTTAGACAAAAAAAGGAGAAATGTGGTAATATTTATTTGTGATCAAACAAATAAAGCTTGCCCAGAGATCAGACTGCAGAACTGGAGGCCAAGCAGTGGTAGCGCATACCTTTAATCTCAGCACTTGGGCTCTCATGCCTTTGATCTCAGCACTTGGGAGGAAGAAACAGGAAATGATATGGCTGGATGGAGAGAAGAAGTGAGGATCTGGCAAAGGTGAGAAGTCTCTCTAGTGGATGGCTCCTTTACTTTTCTGATCTTTCAAAATTTGTCTACTGCCAATAGCCCCTCAGTGTGTGGTGAATACTATATATCATCTAATGTATACAGGGATTTTGGTTGACTTGGTCTTATATAGGTCTTTTGCAGGAAACCATGCCTGCTATGAGTTCATGTATGCGATAGTCATGTTGTGTTCAGAAAATACTTCATAACATTCTACTCCATTCTGAGATCTTACATTCTTTTATTTAAAAAAAAATACAGTGAGATAAAACAAAAACTAAGATGCTGTACTCAGACAAAACAAACAAACAGAAGGAAAAGAGCCCAATAGAAGGCACAAGAAACAAAGGCTCACTCATTTGAACACCCAGGAATCCCATGAAAACACAAATTTGAAGCTGTAAGTACAAAGGACCTGGTATATACCATGAAGACCCTGTGTGGGCTGCCTTAGTCTCTGTGAGTTCATATATTAGTTGATCATGTTGATTTACAGGGTCTTGTTTTCTTGGTATCCTCTATACCCCTCTCTAACCTCTAGCTCTTACACTCTTTCCCCCTCCTTTTCTGCAGAATTCCCTGAGACTGGAGCGGAAAGATTTGATAGAGACTTTCCTTTCAGGACTAGGTGCCTAACTGTTCCCTATAGTTGTACTCATCTACTGGAGGAGTAAGCTTTTCTGGCGATGGCTGAGCAAGGCATTGATCTATGGGTATAGCAGAATGTCATTAAGTCACTTTATCATTAGTTCTTTTTTTTTTTTTTAACAGCAGTATTACTGGTTTTACCCTAGGCCCCTGGACTATCTACTCTCAGGTCCATGGTCACCAAAGCAGTGCTGGGTTCTATTTCATGGAGTGGACCTTCAGTTAAATAATATAGATAATGGTTACTCCCACAAGCTTTGTACCACCATTGCATTAGCATATCTTGTAAGCAGGACAACATAGTGGATATAAGAGTTTGTGGTTGGGTTGGTGTTTATGTTTCTCTTTTGGCGGCATGCCTAGTACGTTCCTGTACCAAAAGCACTAGAACTGAGGGTAAAAGATTCTATGTCATTACCAGCTAGACTTCTGCATGTTCAATAAGTTGTGTAGATGTTGCCTTCAGCAATGGGGACTTGTCATCAGTTTGTGGAGAGCAACCTATGGTCTTTCCAATAGCCTGGGTTGTTTGGGGATTCCCATTGAACACCTTTGGAAAACAACTCAATTAGATTTAATCCAGTCCTGGTATCAGAAACTTGATTTAGTGACAAGAGATGGCCAGTTGGGGCTGTCTCCCCAACTGTTTTTATTTAGGAATCTTCCACTGTTAGGATTCCACACTACCCCTCAAATTTTTGCTATTTCTCTTTGTAATCCCTCCAATTCCTCTTCTCTCCCCTTCCCCTTGAAACTCCTCCCCCCAACCCATTCATACCTATACTATTTTCCTTTCCTAATGAGATCTGTCCCTTCTAGTTCCTTTTTCTGTACCTATCCTCTAGTTCTATGGATTATAGCTTTGTTATTATTGACTTAACAGCTAATATCCATATATAAGAGAATACACACTACATTTCTCTTCTGAGATACCTCACTCAGCATGACTTTATTTTCTAATTCCATCCATTTGCCTATGAATTTCCTGATTTAATTTTTTAACAGTAGATTAATATTCCATTGTGTAAATGTATCATATTTTCTTTATCAGTTCTTCTCTTAAGGGACATCTAAGTTGTCTCCAATTTCTGGTTATTAAGAATAGAGCAGCAATGAACATGGTTGGGCAAGTATCTGTGTGGTAAGATGAAGCATCCTTTGGGTATATGCCCAAGTGTGACATATCTGGATCTTGAGGTAGGTCAATTCCCATCTTCCTAAGGCTCCATCACACTGATTTCCACTGCTGGTGTACAAGTTTGCATTACCACCAATGATGGATGAGAGTTCCTCTTACTCCACAGCGTCACCAGCATGAGCTATCACTTGCTTTGTTGACCTTAGCCATTCTGACAGGTGTAAGATGAACTCTCCGAGTAGTTTTGATTTGCTTTCCTCTGATATCTAAGAATGTTGAACATTTCTTTTAATGTTTCTCAGCCATTTGAGTTTCCTCTATTGAGAATTTGATTTATATTTGTACAGTATTTTTAAATTGGGTTATTTAATTTCTTGGTATCTAGTTTCTTGAGTTCCTTATATGTTTTGGATAATATTCCTCTATTGGATATGCATTTGGTGAAAATCTTTTCCCATTCTATAGGATGTCATTTTTTCTGAATGATCGTATCCTTTGCCATGCAGAAGCTTTTCAGTTTCATGAGGCCCCATATATTAATTGTTAAATTTAGTGCCTGTACTAATGGTATTCTGTTCAGAAAGACTTTCTCTGTGCCAATGAGTTCAAGGCTATTCAGCATTTTCTCTTCTATCAGGTTTAGTGTATCTGGTTTTATATTGAGGTCTTTGAAACATTTGGAGCAAAATTTTGTGCAAAGGAGTAAGTATCGATTTGCATTCTTCTACATGCATCTATCCAGTTTGACCAGCACCATTTGTTAAAGATGTTGTCTTTTTCCCAATGTATGCTTCTGGCTTCTTTATAAAAAGTTAGGTGTCCATAGGTGTGTGAACCTATGTCTGAGTCTTCAATTGAACATCATTGATTGATGTTTCTGTTTTTGTGCCAATATCATGCTATATTTATTATTATAGCTCTGTAGTCCAACTTGAAATCAGAGATGGGGAGACCTCCAGCAGTTTATTATTTGGGATTGTTTTAGCTATCCTGGATTGTGTGTGTGTGTGTGTGTGTGTGTGTGTGTGTGTGTGTGTGTGTGTGTATGTGTGTGTGTGTGTGTGTGTGTGTGTGTGTGTGTGTTTCCATTTTAAGCTGAAAATAAAATTGTCCTTTCAAGATCTATGACGAATTTTGTTGGAATTTTGATAAGGATTGCATTGATCTTATAGATTGCTATGAGTAGACTGGCCATTTTCAGTATATTAATACTACCAATTCATGAGCATGGGGAGATCTTTCCATACTCTGATATATATTTTTTAGTTTTTTTCAATGTGTATTAAGGGGATACAAATTGGAATAAAAGAAGTCAAGTTTTTATCATACAAATATTTCAGTTGTTTGGTTAGAGTTACCCCAAGATATTACACATTATTTAAGAATATTGAACATTGGGAGGTGTTTTTTTTTTCTTGATTTCTTTCTCAGTCTGTCATTTGTATGTCAGAGGGCTACTGGTTTTTGTGAGTTAATTTTGTGTCTAGCTACTTTTCTGAAAATGTTTATCAGGTGTAGGAGTTTCCAGGGTGACTTATGTCATAGTCATATGATATATATCATATCATCTACAAATAAAGATACTTTGACTTCTTCTTATCCAATTTCTGTCTCCTTGAATTCTTTCAATTGTCTTATTGTTCCAGCTAGGACTTCAAGTACTATATTGAATAGATATGGAGAAAGTGGACAACCTTGCTTGTTCCTGATTTTAGTAGAATTGCTTCATTTTTTTTTATTTCATTTAAGTCAATGTTGGCTATGGGGATGAAAGAAATTGCTTTTATTATGTTGAGATGCATCCCTTTTATCTCTAATCTCTGAGGATTGTTATCATAAAGGGTTTTTGGGCTTTGTCAAGAACTCCTTTCTACATCTATTGAGATGATCACGTGTTTTTATATCTCTCAGGCTGATTATATGGTGTATTATTATCAATTTATATATGGTGAAACCTCACTGCATCTCTGGGATGAAGCCCACTTGATCATGGTGGATGATTTTTTTAATATGTTCCTGAATCCAGTTTGCAAATATTTTATTGAGAATTTTACATCTATGTTCATAAGGGAAATTGTTCTCTAATTCTTTTTCTTTGTTGGCTCTCTATATGGTTTGGGTGTCAGGATAACTGTGGCCTCATCAAATGAATTAGTTGATGTTCCTATTTGTTCTATTTTGTGAAATGATTTGAGGAGTATTGGCATTAACTCTTCTTTGAAAGTCTGGTACAATTTTGCATCAAAACTGCCTGTCCCTAGGCTATTGTTGACTTGGAGACTTATAATGACTGTTTCTATTTCCCTAGGGGTTAAAGGTCTGTTTATATTGCTTATCTGACCTTGATTTAACTTTACTAAGCAATGTGTATTGACAAAATTACGCATTTCTTTTAGATTTCCAATTTGGTAGACTACAGGTTTTATTTTTCCAACATAATATTTTTATTCATTATTTGGAAATTTCATACAATGCACCTGATC